AAGAGCTCTACAAAGGCTTAAATATATATATATAGACATGCGAATAACAACAACCTTATTTTGTTGCTCACAGCCATTATTGTGTTCAATTGAAGCTTGAAGAATGGCTCCATCTACCACGCAAGTAATCTTCTACGGAGATATTCTGCTCAGTACTGCTTACGGAAGCAGAATCATCTTCCAAGTCAAGCAATGCAAGATTAAGGAAATACTGGACTTTTGTAGTAGATTCTTCGCCGTGAACACCATTCAACTCATCAGAACCCCTGATTTCCTGCCTAGCCCAGTTGACGGCCTCTTGATCTCTTTGAAGGAGTTTGAGAACCTGTTTGGAAGGGTTTCAATGGTTTATTTATAGTTTGAAGTCAATACCGAGCATTTTCTAATAAAAACTATTATTCATTTATGAAATTGGTCTCACAAGGCTAATATCAGGACGGGACTGGGATGCATATCTGATGCACAAGGCTGCAGCTAAGGCCATTATCTCAAATTGTTCGTCTTTACAAGAGTTGACCAATTGAGGATCTCGAAGTTCTGATAATTCACCATCCTCCAAGATGTGTTTTGCCTGAAATAGCCAAACAGATTAACCAGGGTAAATGAATAACTCAGAGTACAAGTTTACTGCTGCCAATCTTGTCACTTAAGCCAATTGAAACAAGATAAATAGAACCGACTTTGGAGAATCCATTCATCATGTAATTCAAGATTTAATCACATTTTAACCCAAGTGATATGGTTTAAATTCAGTACTAATGATTCAAACTCCAAAATAAAGTACTTACCCACATTACCAAGCTCTCTTGGCCCTTTGGGGATCCACTGCAAATTGGTTTTCTACCAGATAGTAACTCAAGAAGTACAACACCAAATGCATACACATCAAGTTTCTCGTTCAGCTTCCCATGCATAAGATACTCAGGAGCCAAGTAGCTTCACCAAAAAAAAAAGACCATGATAAGAGGTTTATGCAATTATTAAGTTACAAATAAAGTGAGACCACATTCTGAAAAAAGAAAAAAAAAAGTAAACAATCAATAAAAGGAGTATAGAGCTAACCCGAATGTGCCAGCAACATCTGAGGTATCCACATGATGCGAACAACTTGAAACCCTGGTAGCAAGACCGAAATCCGACAACTGTACAGGAAAAACGAGCACTTAGACAACTAATGGGATGAGAACAACAGCAAACCGTTGAATGGCTTATACCTGTGGCTCGTAAGCATCTGAGAGAAGGATGTTTGAAGATTTTACATCTCTATGTATAACTGGCTCGGGCAAACTATGTAAATAGTCCAGTGCCTCGGCAACTCCCAAAGCAACCTTATATCTCTCTTCTAGACCAAACTGATTTGATTTCTTTGCACCTATTTCAGAGGACGGTGATCGTGAACGTATGATTAAGACCAGCACACTCATACTAGAGGATCCACAGGATAAGAGGAGGAAAATTAACATAATGCACATACCATTGAGATTTTCTTCCAGGCTTCCTCTGGATAGAAGGTCATAAACTAAGAGTAGTTTGTTTTCCTCAAAACAGAATCCAACTAGAGATATAATGTTTTTGTGCTGCAAAGACGTAATGATTTCAATTTCTGAAACGAAATGTTCCAGTACATCTTCAGATGGTTTGAGAATTTTAACTGCTAACTTCTTGCCTCCAGGTAGACAGCCTAGAAAGACCTGGCTGCTTCCCCCTTTCCCGATCAGATTTTCTGGAAAACATAGTTGAGAATTATGAGTAAGACATTTTTTAAATCAAGTAATATATTGAAACACTTTGAAGTCAATAAACCTGGTAAGAAATTATTTGTTGCTAACGAGAGTTCCTGGTAGCTAAACCGTTGGCATGTTGTTGAGTACTTCTCTGCAAGCGCTTTGAGTTCTTCCGAGGAAATCTTATTTACACAAGGAACCGAATCTCTCTGAGATGAGTACGGTACAATAGCTCCCTTTTCTGAATCCAAACTCAACAGAGATTTATCTTCATTGGGTGCAGCAATCTGCTTCTGATCGGGATAAATAGCTGCAAAAGATTGTTGACCCGGTAATTTCAATTTCCAGGTCATCAAAAAAGATTTCTTAGTAGATGAAGTTTCAGGTGTTCCTCGTCTGGGAGAAAGAACCCTCCTGAATGATTCCCATCTTGATTTAGATACTGGCAATAACTGTTTCTTAAAGGGTACAAGAGCCACAGAACTGTTCTCATCTTTGTTACTAGGTAATGATAAAACTCTGAGGGTCGGTAGGCTCAGAGGGCTTCTGCCTAACGTCTTCCTCCATTTCAACAAAGATTCTGACTCACCATGACTTCGGGAATATGGCTCATAGGAAGCATTTGTTTCCCTTCTGAATACAATCTTACCATTATCGACACATAAAACTGAGATATTATTGTCGAGATTGCTGGCACAGTACTTGGCAACTGCGATCCTCGATCTAATTTTGTGATGGACATTCGAGGTACCAAGAATTAAGCTCTGGGCACCACACGATTTTGCCTCGCGGACTAGGATTTGACGAGCAGGGGTCCCCTTACAAACCTTAAGCTCTAAATCTACCTGCAGAAATTTGGCAGTCCTTTAGCAAGTCCCTTTACAAAGTCCAGTCAGCCAGAAAGATGAGTTTGCAAAACCCTCATGCTTTGCACCAAGAAAATCATAGAAAATTCAGCAAATAACTAACTAATCTAAATCAGTGTACAGTAGGAACTCTTAAAACTTAGAAGTTAAGTTTAGTCGCGGGGAAACAAACAGTAATTTCTCGAATCAAATGGTAAATGTGTAAACTGATTCTGGGGAGTAAAATGAACCGCATTCATCCATGCCAAGTCTGAATCAGACACATAATAGCTAAATCTGGTTAGTATTTAAAAGACATTTATGCCACAGCCCGATGCTATCTGAACTAAGAACGAAATAAAGCAGAAAAAGGTTGTAACGCGAGGAATGGGAAATACCTGTTTTAAGCTACAGAATCCTTCATAAGCAGCCAGCAGCGAATCAAAATTCTTCACCAGAGAAAGAAGAGACGATTTATCTTCTCCACATAGAAAAAATAAAGAAAAAATGTAAGAAACTGAACACCTAAAAAAAAGGATGGAAACCATTCAAGCACTTGGTGAATTCGAGGGCACAAAATCACACACAAAGCAAAAGAAACCTCCGATTTCATCTCAGACGAAAAAAAAAAGGTGAAAATTAGAAGAATGAACTACGGCCGAAAGGATGCCGTCATGACCTCGAATAACAGTAGTGTGAGACTGGAAAATTTTGCTCACCCGTGCTGGGATCGAGTATATGGAGAGCAACGACGCGATCGCCACTGTGCGCGACCTTCACTAGTGCCCACGTCAGCAGCTCCCTACTCCGCGCGTCGAGCCTCACTCCCACCACCACAAGCGAGCCCCGGCCGCCGCCGACGGAACAAGCGGCCATGGTACTCTCTCCACCACCGCACTCCGCTACTTCAGAAACTCCGGCAGTCCGCCTCATTTTAGCACAAACATGGGTCATGTAGGGGTAGACACCTCTCTCTCTCTCTCTCTCTCTCTCTCTCTCTCTCTGAACGGCCGCCTGGAGGAGTTTTGATTCACTCGCCTCTCTAGACGTCTCATGTCTTGTTTCTCGGGGTTGATTCATTTTAATTATATTAATGAGTGTAATTATGTGGGATAATTATACGGTGCCACGCGGACTAGTGAGATTCGTCTTGCGGTTGCCAAAAAATCTGGGAGCGGATCGGGTCTTCGGGTTGTGCTTTCAGTTGGGCAGGCTCGGCAATTTTTGGAGCGTTTTCTTGGGTCGTGGTCCAACCCGTTCGGGTGGTTGGTCGGGTGCTCTGTTGTTGGGTTGCTCTCGGTGTTCTATTCGACTAGGGAAGGGCTTGATCTATTTTTTGTCTAGTTCTTCTGTTTAGTTTGCTTGTTTGCTGAATGTGTTGTGTTTTGGTGTCTGTAGTGTGTATAGACGTGGCCAATTGTCGGGCTGCAGCCCGGCCCGACGAATTGGCGGGCTTTAATCTCATGGCTCGTGATCGGCCTGCCCATTTATATGAGCCCGGCCCCTTAAAAAAAATTATCTCGTGGCCCGTCGTCTGACCCACGGACCGACTCGGCCCGGCGGTACCCAGAAAAAAAATTGAACTGGTACTGAACCGCGACCCTAAGGGTCCGGTCAACGAACCGGCCCTTATGAGGCCGGTTCGGGCCGCCGGGGCCAGTTTACGGGCCGGTTTGGCCTGTGGATATGTCTATGTGTGTCTCGTCTTGGTCTGTTTTGGATTTTGTGTTTTTTCCTATTGGGAACGTCTTTCTCCATTTGTGGGAGCATGTATTTTTTCCACTTGTGGGAGCAGTATTTTTTGTTGGTAGGTGTGTTCTTTTGTGGTTCTAGTCAAGGCCAGCTCTTTGTGGCAGCCATGCCTAGGGCCTCTATATATATTGGGGTCGCAATATTTTTTAAATATTATGTATTTGTGTTGAGTTTGATCTATTTAACAAATGAAAGAACTAATGACTAAATATGGATTTGGCCCGCTACACAAATGCATAAAATAATTAACGAATGCGCTAATGACAACATATGTACTTTGTGTGTGAATTTAAGGCCCTAAATATTTTATTTGTTTTCTTATGATGTTCGGTCAGAATAATTGTGTGAGAATAAATATTCTTTGCAGTGATATTGTTTTTATTTTCTTCTCATTGTTATTCTCGTGACTGTTTGAATGTAATTTACTAAAGATCTTTGTAATTCATAGGTAATTTATCAATTCCAAGGTCTAGAAAAAACAAGAAAATTCATTTTTTTTTTCAATTGTTTATTTATTTATTTAAAAATCTTGTTTAATTAAATTTTTTCTTCTATGATTCTATCTGCAAATAGCCCTAATTATCACACAAGTTCAAATCGAAAAATTAGAAAAGGAAAAACTTGTCTGGGGCCTCCAAATTTTTGGAGACGGCATTGTTTCTAATGTAGGTTCTAGGCGACCTTCGAGTTTGTCCTCCCACTAGACTTGGCCCTAGAGCTACTTCTTTTCAGCTATTTGGTTGTTCCTAAATGTATTTACGTGTGTTTCTTTAAAAAATTCTATCGTTCTGAAAAAAAAAAATGCAAAAAATCAAGTGTTTATTTACATAATCAATTAAATAAAAAATCAAAAAATGTTATTTGTAAATACGAAAATGCTTTATTCAAAAAATTTTGAGAAATAACATTATCAACATTTAATTAATTTACTTAAATAGTGTTTAATTATCCTATTCTTAACATTGAGTTCAGACATAATTATATATCTCAAATAAACCACTAAATATTCTTAAATTGTATTCAATTTGTCCAACTCAAATATCTCTTCGTTTTTTATTTTCTAAACTCTAATTTCTCTTCACCTCAGAAATATTAAAAAAGTTTTTACAAGAAATATTCAAAATTAGAAATATTATGTGAATTTAGCCATATTAAATTCATATTTTTTTTGAAATGAAAGATTTTGGTTTGTTCAATCATTTGATTTCTTAATTGATGTTTTCTTTGAATCTACACACGCGATTACTTGCATGCACCGAGACATGAAGGTAAAATTTAGGATCTGTGTCTTGTCTTATTTTGTATTGAGATTCGATATCAATGATGTTTTATGAAGTTTTGTTGCAAATTTGCAATTAACAATATTTGTTTTTCATTCTTCCGTGTTCTTCATTCATGTTATTGTTCAATCATGTATATTTCACTCGTTTTCTGTATGCATATTTCCTATTATATATTTTGTGGTGGCATCCATGATTATATAATCAGTGGTTACGATTAATGTTGTGATGTGAGTTTGTGGATGTTAACCTTGAAAATTCATTGATATTGTTGTTTTACCATTAACAAGCACATAAAATGTTCGACGAAATATCTTAACCAAGATTGCTTGTCTCAGTAGTTATATAATCTTGTTTATAGTTGTTGTAAAGGATATGGAGAGCCTACTGTAAGTCGTAAAGAATACTAGCACTTTCAATAATCACATTTTCTACATGATAGAGGTCAAGTACATGTCTGCTGCCAATGAAGCCTTTACAAGGCTAGCTTAAAGTTGTGCACCACTGCATTCATGAGCTATAACATAAATCATGTGCAATTTATCTTGTTTCTTGTAGCTATAAATCATGTTTTCTTACTTTTTTGGTATTTAGTGTAATGTGACACAATCGGAACAGAGTATGTATGATGTTATCATGTTTGTTCAAATGTTGGTTGTTAGGTTTTGCTAGTCATTTGCTTATAGGAATGTCAAATGCCTTGTTTTGAAATTGATTTGTTGTGCTAATATAGACAAATCAAATGAATGTGTTAAACAATATTTTATGATTTGTCATGTAGCCGCTGTTATGGGAAACAAACATCTCTGAAGTATGAGCTAAGGTTCTGAAATAAATTTGCAATTAAAATGCAGATTATACAAACCATTACAATGATGATGAAAAAAATTAGACATAATAACAAATTGACGACAATTTGATCATTGTATTTTTACAACATTTCGTAGATAATCTACAACTCTGATAATTCTCATTCAAGTTTGGTCCCTTCTTCGTTGACTCTGACTTCCAACAGTGTCAATGTCTTCAACTCCCTTGCCCTTACTTCCATATGGAATGCAAAAGTCATTCACATTTCCAACATCTGACTGTGACGGTTGGCTACTCGTTCTTTTTTATTGGCAAGTGGTAGTCTTATGTCCGAGGTCGTTGCTAGTACATTCAGGCACTTAGCAGTAGAGATACATAAAATACTCACCTTTTTTAATTTCTTGCAATAAATGAAGGTCTAGTTTATGGTATAATATGTACCCTCATGATTTGCATCTTCATTTTTTCCTATTGGTATGCCTCTAGATTTAGCCCTACGTGGGTCGCCAGTCTTTTCTTTCTTATTCGTCCCTCTCGCAGTATCCTTAATAATTTGTGATCCACTTTGAAATCATTATTTCAAGTTCATATGTTGGCTTCTTCAATATTCTCTAGGTTATCCATTGCACGTCGAACTTTCTTTACACACTTTGACAGAGATTCGGCTCATTTAGGTATAAATTTAGTAAGGCCTCTGTTGTAGTTTCTAGATTTGGATTGGGTCGTGTTTCTGTCTTCCGGTCGGGACCGTTCACGCGTGTGGCTCTGTTGTTGATGATAGCCTTATTCTAATTTAGTTACTTTTTGTTGACTTAGGGTCTTTTGTTGGTGTTTGGTGTTTTGGTGATTTTTGTTTTGTTGTTAGTGGTGTTTTGGTGTTGTTGGGTGTGTTTATTCTCACTTTGAGTAGTGAATATTCTTCTTTTGAAGAGTTTGTATTCTTTTCTTGGGAAAAGTTTTTAGTTGTGTTGTATTGTGGATATAGGTGCTTAGGCTACCGCTCAGTAGTCATCCCATTAGATTCAAATGGTTTGACTATTTGACTATTACTAACTAATGCGTAGTTGTAATTATGTATTTTTTGGTACTATAATATCTATCATTTTAACAAAGAAAAAAAAAAAACCA